GAGTGCCCATATGGCATGCACGCAGGATCAATCAGAAGCAAATACTTTGGCAGCACACAGTGACCCAGATCGAGAGATGCCATTGGGTAATTTTCCAATTGACATCCCACCAGATTTATCATCAAAACCGTTTGACCAGTCAAATTTCAAGCTTGATGAGGTAAGAACAATCATCAGGAAGGCTCAGCCTCAGGTCTAACAGGTGTGACATACAGGGTCTACAAGAACTGCCGAAAGCTGTTAATACATCTATGACGATTGCTAACAAGCATCCAGAACAAAAAAAATCTAGCAAGGAATTGGACTTTGGCGGAAAGGTACTTCATTCCAAAGGAGCTAAAATTTGAGCGACTGAACCAGTTCAGGTAGACATCATTATTGGATGCTGAGGGAAAGATCTTCTGGGCCATTATGGTCAAGCCTCGAAGTTGTTTCAAAGTGGCCTGCCAAGCATCCAGAAAAGTGGTCTCCCAAGACATCATGGGGTACATAAAGCAGCATAAGCCAACTTGTGAAGGAAGCCAAGAAAGAGAATCAGTAGTTTGGCTGGACAGAAGGCCTACCTAGTGTCCCTCACCAACTGATACTAGAGGTACAAGTTCACTTTCACGTACCAAAACCAACAGATGTAGTTAATCTGGGAAACACAAACTCCTTGAAGTTGCACAATACATTTTGCAATTTTACCACTAATTAGCAGAGTTCGGAGAAAGGCATAGTGGCAGACTGCCCTGTATCAGTAGTTCTCTTCGTAACATCCATGAACTTACTGCTAAATGCAGGGATGATGCAGTGTAAGGTTCCACAAGCAAATGAAGGTGCAAAACACCTACCATACAGAGCTTTCATGGATGACATCATAGTTATGACCAGTTCAGTAGTGAGTACCAGATGGGTTCTATTAGCTATGTAAAGAATGGCAAACTGGACTTGCATGAAATTAAAAGCCTACCAGGTCAAGAAGCATGGTTTTGGTCGATGGCAAGCTTTCTCCAATGCAGTTCAAAATAAAAGCAAGCAAATACCAACAGTGCATGATAAAAGAATCAAATGTCTAGAGAAGAACTATGACAAAACCTTGCGTGGTTTGAACAATACAGCTGAAGTCTCAAGGGACCTGGACAAGTGGCTTAAAGCCATTGACTCAAGTCATGTATCGGGGCGTTATGCTATTACTTCCCAATTTCAGTGGCCTTTCCAGATTTACGACATTACCTGGGAACCCTCACTTCAGCAATTCTTGAAATGGAATGACCTTTGGTCCATGGACCGAGGGGAGTTCAATTTCCTATTAAGAGCTTTCCTTGACCTGGTCTCAACTCCATCAAACCTCAGACTTTGGGGCAAGGAAGAAACTGCCAACTGCCCCAAGTGCATGGCAACTGAATGACACGTACATTAAATCATATACTCAGTATTTGGGTTACAGCTCCCACTGATGGACAATACAGATGATGTCATGATTGAGACTGAGGATGCCCATACTTTGATCTGGGCCTATCTTCAATATCTATCTTGCGTTTCTTTGATCTGGGCATTATTAACCACTACCACTTCTAACATGTCTCATCAGATTGACACTGGCTTCTTAGTATTGTGCTGTCATATTGGAATTACACTATCATAATCAGAGGCGTAGCTAGCCCATTTTGCGAGTGTACGCCCGTATGATTTCCCGGGAGCTCTTGCTGGGGCAGCATTGAAGAATACACAACTACAATGTCAACTCAACTGAAACGAAATAAAATTCTCTAATTATCAGTAGCTAACTGATTCAAAACAAAGAAAATGAAATAATCGAGAACTTTTTTATTTATTAACACGAGTCTTCATAGATCTCCTATCGATTTCTATCTCTTGGTAAAATATTTATTTTTCATCACAATTAATCAGGTAAATTTTATTTTTCCTTAAAATTTGAGAGTACGCCTGGGCGTACTTGGCGTACACGTAGCTACGCCACTGATAATGAACACATCATGTACTCGTAAGTGGTGCACACAAGCTGCAAAATTTGGCCAACATTTCACCAATAAGCAACATTGAGCTCTATCTACATGACTCTGCCAGAGCAGCTTCAGCCTTTGAAGTTGACATTAGTGTTTAGAAGTTAACATTTTGAACAAGAAGTGCCCCCCCCCCTTTTTCAGTTACATAATCGTGTGAAGTGTCAACACTTAATTTCTTATAGTTTTTCCAAAATTTCGATTGCAAATATGTTCAAAATTAATGTACCTATATATTCAAAATCATAAATGCTCATGAATAACCAAGACTTTAACCCAGAGGGAGAGATATTGGTCGTTACCATTGAAAAAAGCCAAAAATGATAGAGGTTGTCACATATTATGCAAATGGGAAAGTTTGCATGATTATTGCATTTTTTATAAGTATATTATAATACAGGTAGCTCCATTTTGGTACCACTTACAGCTTTCAATTCTCAAAACTGTGGAAGTTATTGTACTTTCAAATGATTAACATCAACTCTTTCTCAAGAAATGTCACGCCCCTTTTCAGCAACATAATCATGTGAAGTGTTATAACTTAGTGTCTGATAATGTTTTTTCCAAAATAAATATGTTCAAAATTAATGTACCTATATATTTAAATTCATTTATGTTCATGGATGACTAAGACTGGTCACTCAGGCAGCAAGGTATTGTGCGATACCGTTGTAAAGAGGCAAACATTACGATTAATGATGTCACATTTTATGCAAATGAGACTATTTGCATAATTATTAATCTCATAATATGGGATACTATAATAGCTTCATTTTGGTACCACTTACAGCTTTCAATTCTCAAAACTGTGGAAGTTATTGTACTTTGAAATGATTAACATCAATTCTTTCGCAAGAAGTGCCACGCCCCTTTTCAGTTACATAATCATGTGTCTGACAATGTTTTTCCAAAACTTTCAATTGCAAATATGTTCAAAATTAATGTACCTATATATTTAAATTCATTTATGTTCATGAATGACTAAGACTGATCACTCAGGCGGAAAGGTATAATGCGATACCGTTGTAAAGAGGCAAGAATTATGATTGGTGATGTCACATTTTATGCAAATGAGGCAATTTGCATAATTATTGCATCTGATAATATAGGATACTATAATAGCTTCATTTTGGTACCACTTACAGCTTTCAATTCTCAAAACTGTGGAAGTTATTGTACTTTGAAATGATTAACATCAATTCTTTCGCAAGAAGTGCCACGCCCCTTTTCAGTTACATAATCATGTGTCTGACAATGTTTTTCCAAAACTTTCAATTGCAAATATGTTCAAAATTAATGTACCTATATAAATATATTCATTTATGTTCATGAATGACTAAGACTGATCACTCAGGCGGAAAGGTATAATGCGATACCGTTGTAAAGAGGCAAGAATTATGATTGATGATGTCACATTTTATGCAAATGAGGCAATTTGCATAATTATTGCATCTGATAATATAGGATACTATAATAGCTTCATTTTGGTACCACTTACAGCTTTCAATTCTCAAAACTTCGGAAGTTATTGTACTTTGAGATAATTAACATCAACTCTTTCAAAAATTCAAGATGGCCGACAAGATGGCCGCCAATGGATACCATGGGACAATATTTCATTCTGGGAACATGCAAAAATCTTTAGTATGGACCTTTAGGATTACAAAAATGTACATTAAAAAAATACATCTTTCGGGTGCATGGGAACCCCTCCTTCCTACCCGTCTACAATCAGTAGTAACAAATCTGCCCGACCTACTTCAATTAGGTTACATATAAGAGCAAAGGGTCAATCAAAATGAGTCATGAAGGCAGTTTTCCAAACTTCCTAATCATGAGCTTTCAAGTGGAAATGATGCAATATTATGTCAATGTAGAGTGGCACGAACGAAGATAAATAAGGGTTAGGTACTGGTAGGTTTTGGATATGGGGTTCATCCAGAGGGATATATGCATACCTACCTGAGCACACCAGAATAGCCTGACAACTGTAAAGTCCATTCATGTCCAGAAATGGCCCTGATTTTTTTTTATCAATATGTGTAGAAACTGTACACAGAATATTCAGTTTTTATAGAAAATATGAAATCTGCAACCCTCAGTTTCTGATTTTCATAATCAGCAGATCTGTCAGTTTTTACAGAAAATGTAAATTCTGAATATCCAAAAATCAGATTTGTCGGATTCAACAGATTCTTCAGCAAATGTAAAATCTGCAAACCTCACTTACTGATTTCTCAGATTCAACTTTCTCAGTTTTTACAGAAAATGTAAATTCTGAAAAACCAAGAATCAGATTTCTCAGATTCAACAGATTCTTCAGTTTTTGCAGAAAATGTAGATTCTGAATAACCAAGAGTCAGATTCAACAGATTCTGCAGTTTTTTACAGAATCTGAATATTCTGCACATCCCTAAATCAGATTCAACAGATTGGATAAAACTTTGATTGTTCACACATGCTTGTTTATATAATAAGATGTTCCCTTTGCCAAGTTTTCGAATAGATAATCAAAATGACTTGAATTTACATGTAATCAGCTTTGTTTATTTAAACATACTAGTACTCTCCTCGCTGTAAATTTGGTAACTGGAACTTTTCATTGAATAGCATATGAAAGCAAGTCAATATTTGAATTGTAGGCTAGTGTTGTTCTTGAATTATATTAATGTCGGATTTCTTGTCAAATTTGATGTTTTTGAAATGTCAAAGATAAACAGACTGATAATGTGATTAGAAGGATCTGGAGGACGTTAGTTTCCTACAAAATGTGTATGACTCAACTCAGAAACTTCATTTTGCACCTTTAACTCAAGATTTGTTTGCCAGAAAATCTTTGTTACATATTTTAGAATTTAGCTTCTCATCATGGAAAAACAACTGAATCCCAGGAACTGAATATTGTGAAAAATCATGGGCTTTTTTCTCGAAAGCCCATGGAAAATTGAACAAATATTGTGTTGCTATTGAATTCTACCTATTTTTGTTCAACAGAAAACTTCAGAGCACTTTGCACTGGTGAGAAAGGATTTGGATACAAGGGTAGCAGCTTCCATCGTATCATCAAAAAGTTCATGTGCCAGGGTGGTGACTTCACTCGCGGGAATGGTACTGGCGGAAAGAGTATCTATGGAGAGAAGTTCTCTGATGAGAATTTCACAAAGAAGCATGAAGCTCCAGGTACTTAACATGTATTTGCATGACATTGTATGAAAAGTGATGGTGCTTGAGTCGATTAAGAATAGAGGATGTTAGGCGGGTTACTTTAGTTGATTTGAGGTTGACTTGAGTTGTGCATAAGCCATTGTTCTTCAACATCTGGATATGAATCACTTATGTTAACCATATTTTATTCAAATCTATGCACACTGTATTGTTGAATGGGGGATTGAATTGAAATGTTGAGGGATCCTTGGTATGGCCCCTATGTGTATTAGATTTTGGTCATACTGGCCATTTCTGATTGTCCGTCCTAAAATCTTGTCAGTACCATTTCCTGTATATGGGTTTCCTGAGCCATTAGATGGATTGATTATCCCATCGAACAAAGTTCGGAGGGATATAGGGAACGCCTCCGTCCGTACGTACGTACATCCGTCCGTACGTACGTACCCATCGTACGTTCGTCCGGGCAATAACTCAAATACCGTTGGCCCGATTTTGTTCATATTTTGTACACATATACCCTATGGGGGTAGAAGTTCTGCTCGAAAGCCGATATTCAAAATGGCCACTCATTTCAAAATGGCGGCCATTTTAGTGCCGAATTTACAGTAATTTATGTGCAACATGTAAAATTGTAATAGCAATATATTTTAGATGTAAAAAAATTATATAGGACATTAATAAAGCTAGAAATGTAGATAATAAAGAAGCACATGTCAGCCATCTTGAAAAATGGCGGCCTTTACTCGTTATTTTATGATTTTTGCTGTAACTCGAAAAGTAGGGGAGCGATTTTGTTCATATTTGGTATGTGAATACTCTTAGTATGGCACATGGTATAATGACACTTTTGGTAGAAGGCGGCCATTTTGAAAAATGGCTGCCATTTTTGCTATATACTTTGGGATTCGCTACGCTTTGGCGTTGCCGTTGTTCTGGTTTGAAATTTGTAGGGATTCTTAGTATGGAAATCCAAGATATTTCTTTGTTTTAGGAACACTCTCCATGGCTAATGCTGGACCCAACACCAATGGTTCCCAGTTCTTCATCTGCACAGAAAAGACAGCATGGTGAGTAAAAATGAATGAAAACCAAACAGCACAAAAATTAAAATCCTGTATACGCATTCAAGTCAATGAACCTGAATAATTTATTTTATTTTGTATGTAGTCAGAAAAAGGTCTATGTACATATCTTAGCACTCTGAAAGTTCGCAACTACTATAGTACTTGTAAAGGACTAAAAGGATGACAAACATCTATCTATCTAACAGTGTACAAAAACATGATGCACAAATAATATAATTTGTTTGTTTTTAGGTTGGATGGCAAACATGTTGTATTTGGTAGGGTTGCTGATGAGGACAGCATGGCTATTGTGAGAAAAATGGAGGCTGTTGGCTCTGACAGTGGAAAAACTTCAAAACCAGTTAAAATTGAAGATTGTGGGCAGTGTTAATGACATTTTAACATATATCTGTCAACCATTTTAGTTGACGATTTATGAGCAATCTGTAATCTATGTAGGTCTCCAAGCAATGTTTATTAGTACATGTAGTAGATTATGATGCAATATCTCTTTGAGTGGACTGTTTCAAGATACTGAATTCAGTATTGCATCATTAAGAATCTCTCCCACCTACGTTGTGTTGGTCGGTCATAAGAGATTGAAGAAAAAAATTGTAATGAGTCCGTATTTATCTCAATTATCATTCCAACAGAGCTTTTTTCCAAATACCATTTCTCTGTTAACTCTAATCATTCTTCAATCTGAATTAACATCTGTATAACTGTATTGCCAAAGCTTCTAGATGTCTGCGAAATAAATATTTTTTAAAATTTAAGCTGATTTATGAGTTGATTATCGTAAACTATGTTTTACTATCTGGTTCTGGTCCTTATATTTATCAAACTGACTTAGGTCCCTGTTACAAAAATTAAAAAAGTGCAAATACTTCCAATATCCAATATATGCTCCTATATGTCTCCAACAAAATGACTTATTTTTATGGTAAGTTCATAATCCATGCAATAGCATTAGACATTCTCAAGAGTCCTACATATTCATTTTTAAGGAAATCTATTTGTGTCCAAATATTTTACACCTTTGTTAATGATAACGTCCGATAACTGAAGCGTTAGTCTCGACCAAATATTAATCCAGCTCCTGAAGTTCTCACTTCAGCAACCTGGACGTTATCCGTGCGATTGGTTGCTTTGTGTTCTGGCCCATTAACGTCCTGGCTGCTGTAGTGAGCAATTCTCATTCGATCATTATTCTGTGATATTGGAGCCCTTGGGTGTATATACTTGTGAATGATTCGCCAAGGGTAAAATATTTGCATATAAATCGACCTCCTTGGTGAAAATGACAATTTCCTCGGACGGAAGTGCATCCATTTTGTTATAAAGACGTAACGTGGGTGGAGACCAGTTGTGAGTGCAGTATTCTAAAGTGATTCCAATGTGTGAGGAGTTCCATATCTAGTATTCTTACGAGAGCCTAACCATTTATAATAGACACGAGGGCCGAAAAACTTCATCATGAAAGTGGCCCGAGCAAAGGACGGTTTTATACTACAGTGTGTCTCAAAAAAATGTTACACTGACAAAAAGTTCAATATATTTCATAATTTTGACTTTTCCCCTAAAATATACTTCGGTACCAGTCTTTCGAATAAATCAACACCATCAGATTTAAAATCTGTCCATGATTGGCTGCACAGGACAGATTTTATAGACGCATGTGAAATCTGATATGCGCCAACTTCTCAGTGGTTGGACATGTGGTGATCAATTCTTTTTTGGTGTGAGTGCTGTGGACAGTGATATCTTGATATGATCAATGATCCAGTTGTTTCTTTCCTGGATAGAAATACAAGATTTCATTGTCAGAGTGTTCAATTTTGTTACATATGATGGCAATACGATGGTGCAAAGGCCTGAAGGCCTGTGGCAGATCGTTTGGTAGAACTCTGCCTTTGGAAATCAGAAGATAGCATTGGATTACCGAATGGATTGGCCCCCTGATGGTCATTCCACTTTACACCTTGATTTTTTGAAGGGCCTCTGAAATCGCTTTACAGCATCACAAACTGACCTAAATGAACTTCTGCAAAAATAATTGATGGAATCGGTGTGATATTACAATGCATGTGCGCATGGGCAAGGGTACCTTAGATTTGCTTTGGAGAACATGTCGAGGGGACCACATGTTTTATGTTTATTGTATTAATCTAACAATGTAATTAGTTTATATGAAATCCGATTTGAAATCGGGAATAAAAGATACATACATACATACTCAGAAGAAAGTTAAAGAAACTATTCTTCTTTTGTCATTTGGTCCATCCAATCACTTAGAAGTTGGCGCAAGTCAGATTTTACCATGAGACACTAAAAGCTGTCCTGTAGAGCCAATCAATATTGAACTTTTTGTAAGTGTAACATTTTTTGAGACACACTGTAGATTAGTAAATGAAATGTCGGTAAATGCATAGATGACACTTGGGAAATAGGCCTGTAATGCCTTAGAATGTTTTGGCCCTTAACTATGTTTATAGGCCTAAATCCCCAGACGAAGTCAAACAATGGGAGAATTAAAAAATATGGATTGGATCGATTGGATTGGTTTTATGTAAAGAGTGGATAAATATCGCGCTTCTATAGTCATCATGCGATGCTTTTGCATCTGTTAAAATTTCAAGATGAAGGGATGAATGGTGATTTTGATGGCAAAATTTATGTAAGAATTCAAAATGGCACCCAATAATTGACCCGGCATGCTGTTAACATATCAAGATCTTGGCTCTATCCTGCTCTTGCATCAGTAAAATTTTTCCTGGAATTTTCATAAAATCTGATTAATGTGGCGCCTGTCCACCCGCCAACCTATCCAACCGCCCACCCATTTTCCTGCAAATTGGCTGTAGAAAAATGCTCCAGAAACAACTTTTACACTTATAAATATATAACTTTATAAATCCAAAGATAATACTATTATATTTTATTAGTTATTAAAATATTTGGATAAGATGGAGAGATGTACATGTGTAGGATGCAAATGGATTTTGACAGACACAAAAACAGACACCTGATATAACATACTAGTGATTCTACTGATACTAGTGTGCACATAAATATAATGATTAAACCAGTACATTCATTTTGAAATATCAGTTTTATATTTTTCACGGAGAGGCGGTAATCGAATCTGAAACACCTTCAAGGAATGTTCATTCCCCATTGCACCGAGTCTCATATCCTTGATTCCAGGTACCAGGTGTAGAAAATCCCATCGAACATCAAGAGTGTCCGAGAGAACTGCTAGAAATTATTTCGCAGAATGGCTCATACAGTCATAGATGTATTGAAGAAATATATTAACAAAACTGCTCCACTACTTTTCAAGTTACTATATCAAAAAATGCAAAATGAGACGTAGCAAAGAGGGCACCTACTCCCCTCCAAAGTTAAGCAACCTTAGCTCACTCATTGAATTTTTATTTAAATACCTGCGAGGAAAATACTTATAATATTGAAGGAAAGGTAACTTTACTTCATTTCCAATGCCTCCTTTTCCCAATTTTTTCCTTAATTACAATAGGGAGACATTTTTGAAAGTCGTCTTTCCCATGTACATGATGTAAAACAAAGAAATGATGGATTCGGGGCAAATTTGATTTCATGATATCCAGTAAATGATTCACCAAAAATATTTTTATATAGAAAATTGAATTGTCTAACTTTTTGAACGCTAAGTGTTCAGTTAACTTTTTGCATACTAAAAGTTACAGAGCTTCAAACATTTCTGAAAATCATTTTTCGCCTCCTGTGTTATTTCAATGGGAGGAGTTTTTGGAAAATAATTTTGACTTTGAAGACCAAGAACTTTTTTAAACCTAAAGAAAAGTATTTTTTATTAAATAGTAGCAAATTCAATTTCCCATTGCAGACTTGCCAACCTAAAATGTAAATTTGCGGGAGATTTTTTGAAAATTGCGGTACTTTTACGGAAGTTTTTTCCAATACCCGTTAGTTTTTGAGGGAGTTTTTTAAACAAAGGTGTGAGTTTTAACGGGAAATTTTTGGAAAACAGGAGTTTTTAAGGTAGGCTTTTAAAAAGGGTAGTTTTCGCAGTAGTTCGTAAAAACGTTAGTTTTTACAGTAGATTTTTGAAAAATCTGTAGTTTTTGAAGTAGGTTATGAAACTGTTGATTTTCAAAAAACGGGAGTTTTTACAGTAGATTTCTGAAAAAAGTTTTTTCCTTAGATTTTTGAAAACGGAAGTTTTTTTCAGTATCTTCTAAAAAACGGGAGTTTTACCTTTGTTCGACATCACCTCACCTCGCCATTTTTGTCTCGCGAATTGGTCCATTCCCTAGCTTTACAAATAAGTTCAAGTTTCCTGCATTGTTAAAAATCATGTCACCGTAAAGAGTAGTTGCATGAAATAATTTTGTTAGCTTTTTTGAATGTTTGCGACTTGTTTTGCTGATACTTGTAGGTACTAATGATAACGTGTTAATCAGAGTACAAATGTACTTCTACAATTTGAAGCAAATTGGTGAAAAACTTGTGGAGGTTATAACCAAAAACAGCTGGAAGTGCAATTTTTGTACAATAAAAATGGCCAACATTTTGAAAGAAGGCGAGCGTTTGAGACAACACTAATGAACATTTGACTACCTTATGCCAGTATGCAGACACATTTAAAAGTGAAATCGTTCCAATTGTCCTGGGTAATTTTGAATTAGCTACCAATGTGTACCAAACAGATGGACAGACAAGTGGGTGATAACAATAGCTCACTCATGTGAGCTAATAAATGACTCCAGAATTGCATATTTTAACAGCTACAGCCAACTTTGTAATAGACATATGATCACTGAAAAACATAAAATCATGATTTGGATTTAGGAAGTGACAGATTTATTTAATGCACATGCCGAGTACACTTGAAGCTATCATAAGTCCTTATATGGGTCTAATAAACTTTCTGTTCCTGTCTTTGTACACCTCCAGTTTGGTGGTTCTTGGCTAGGTAATCTGTGTACTCCTGGTAGGGTGACTTTGAGAAGACAGTCTCCTTCCACAAGTCTGGTGTCAAGTAACCGTATGTGGCAGCAATGGCAGCATAAGTAGCCTTGGCTGAAAGAACAAGAAATTACACACATTAGGCTGTTATTGGATCGCTGGTACGATACTGGAAATGATTCTTATAACAATACAGTATATTTCAATTTAATTGCAAATGATCTTGACAGCTTTGATGTTAGACTCAATTCTTACAGCTTTGATTGTGTACAATGTTGCCAAGTCATGAAACAGTCCAACCTTATGAAACAGCTGACTGGGATTACCTTGGCTATTTCTTGTTACCTCCACTGATTAGGGCTGCTATTATTGCAAATGCTAAGGCCCATGCCCGGGAGGTTGACACACCCAAAATTATAACACTGATGTTAAATCTACCAGCATTTTCACATCCTCAGCAAAACAACCAGGATATATTTTTGGTTTGGTCATAACATTTTCATTGTTATTTGAACAAAGATTTACTTATACCTAATCAGATCTGATCTTCCAAAAAATGGAGCCCTATTTCCAGTAAGTCCAGTACACTTACCAAAGTTGCCCAGAGTTGAGGTCTGTCCTCTAGCGGAGGTGTAACAATCCTCAATACCAGCCATATGAAGAAGCTTCTTGGGTACTGGAGCACTGACGACACCTGTACCACGGGGTGCAGGGATCAAACGCACCACTACACTACCACATTTTCCTGTGACCTGGAAGGAGAACACAATACATCATATGTAATGACATGGTTGTGGTTTTCAATAGTATATTTGTGAATTGCCACACAGATAAACAAAACATTAACATGCAAAATATCACAACCTGCCATTTGTTACAGACATTGATTCATTGAATGCCAGGTGCCAACCAGTCTCAAGTTCTAAGGTAAAAAAGATACTAATTCTGTTAGAAGTAACACTGATTTCATGCAACCAGAATTCCTAAAATAACAAATGTATCAAAAGAGTACACTGAAACCGAAGACTAGCATTTCTGATTACTACCCTTAAATGGATCACAAATAAATAAATGTAGTTTTGATGCTACAAAAAATGTATACCTTGCAGGGAACAGTATGGGGCTTTCCGATCTTGTTACCCCAATAGCCTCTACGTACAGGGATGACAGAGAGCTTAGCCAGAATAATAGCCCCACGAATAGCAGTTGCTACTTCTTTGGAACATTTTACTCCAAGACCAAGATGTCCATTGTTGTCTCCAATGGCCACAAAAGCCTTGAATCGAGTACGCTGACCAGCACGGGTCTGCTTCTGCACAGGCATGATCTTGAGGACCTCATCCTTCAGCCCTGATCCAAGGAAGAAATCGATGATTTCAAACTCCTGAAATAAAAATTCATTTGGTTATTCTACATCTGATTACTATCGACAAACTTGATTAACTGCTAGAATTTCATGGCAAATTTTTCTAGGGTAATTATAGTTATCATTAGCAAAGATAAATAAAGCGGACAATACTTGGAGAGGTCCTTAGCTAGAAAACATTATTGAATGACATCAGAGTCCATATAAGGTAGATGTATATATTGGTTTCCCAATCTTTTACAAATTATTTGTTTTGCAAGTCTTACACCTATTCTGAATCTGAACACAATTAGTTTTTTTAATCAGACATCCAGTTCTGCACAAAAACTTTCGCCTTTAGGCCAACCTACATTGAACGTTGCTTTTTTCTCCAAAATCTTGTCTAATAAATACAAACCTTGATTGGTAGAGAGAACAAGTAGATCTCTTCCAGTGATTTGATCTTCAGATCTTTCACCAAACGTCCAAGCTTAGTGACGGGAATCCATTCCTTGTCTTCTTTGCCTCCACGGCCTCTCCCACGTCCCCTTCCTCTACCACGACCGCGTCCACGGCCTCTGCCGCGACCTCGGTCACCTCCAAATCCTCCACGGAAACCTCCTCTATCTCCTCCTTCTGGAGCTGGAGCACCGGCAGCTGCTTCGTCCGCCATTTGCTGAAAAAAGGTAAGCCTTTATTGAATACGGCCAAAAACTAGACACTAAAATAGGCCCTTGGAACTACTGTAATGACCAGAGGGATTCAGTCATTTCAGGTCATTGCTCAATCTTTTGAGGCTAGCTAGTTTTCAAACTAAAAAAAAATTAAATGTTTGTATGTTAGGTTCGAATCTATCTCAGCAAATCACAAAAAAGACAAAAATCTGAACAAATGATTGATCTTCAATCCATACATCACAAAGGTTGGTTGATTAGATCCACTTTAGTTCTGCTGCCATTGTCACTAGACCAGAATCGTGTAACGAAGAGATAACGATAAAATAATGTTTGAGGAATGAGGACATACATTTCATGTCCGATTCAAATAAATTCCACGGCTGAAAGCAGTAAAATCCTTCTAAATACTGAAGACAATTAATGAAACAACACAGCGAAGCCAATTAGGTTGCAGTAAAGTATGAGATGGCATGGATTTTAGTTTGATATGGAAAGTATTGAAAATTTCGACTTCACTTACGTGATTTCTAGTGAAAAGAACGAAAAAGAGGTTGGTGACCTAGATTAAAATGTGTCAAACTTATACCAAAACGAAATTGCTCAAATAATTTCTCCTGGTTCTTCTAAAGACTTTGTACAGACCCTAAACGAGTATAAATATTGAAATAAAATGAAGCTGGATCAAGCGCACTCTTACTTGGGATTAAATATGCAAAAAGAAATTAAAATTTGACTTTTAGAAACATCTTGAAAAGCACACACAAAGTCATGACGTAGTTCGCAACTGAAGTCAGAAAAAATATAAAATGTTACAATGTCAGCCTCAAATAACCGTTTAGACATGCAACATGGCTTTGTGAAATGTATCATTAAAAACCAAATCGACAGGTATATATTTTGTTCACAAAAGAACCTCATAAAATCTTTAAAATTCTTTATATATCTACTACAATCTTCAAAAATGCTCAATTTTTTTTTCTTCAGTAGATTAGTCTAGATCTAGATCTAGATTTTAGAATATCTAGAACTGGACTATCAATCAATGACAGAGTGACTTGCAGGTATCTGTATTGCACACAGTCAACTCAACCTGCAATTTTAATTTAATAATTTAAAAGTAAATAAATTGAATAACACAAACTCAGAATTCTGTCAGCGTACCCACATGAGCATTTAGCACATCTATTAGTACTGTTTGTGCCATAGGCCCCGGGAACATGTATAAAGTAATACAGATGTTGACTCTATTTTTATGTCACCACCAAAAGTGGTGACATATTGTTATGGTCTCCGTTTTTTTGCGACGGCGGTTGGTGGTTGGAGGTTGGCGTCCGGCGGTTGGAGGTTGGCGTCCGGCATCTGTAACAATTTCTTACAACTTCCTATAACTTAACAAAAACTGTTTAGACTGACTTCAATTTTTTTCTAAATCATCTACATGTTCTCAGAAGTTCAAATCTGACTTTAGATTTGACATTTGACCTTCAATGACCTTCTCAAGGTCAAAAAAGGTCAAAAGGGTCTGTTTTCAACTTGCTTCAAATTGACTAAATTTTTTTTTCAAAATCATCTACGTGTTCTCAGAAATTCAAATCTGACTTAAGATTTGACTTAAGATTTGACATTTGACCTTCAATGACCTTCTCAAGGTCAAAAAAGGTCAAAAAGATCTGTTTTCAACTTGCTTCAAATTGACTAAAATTTTTTTTTCAAAATCATCTACGTGTTCTCAGGAATTCAAATCTGACTTTAGATTTGACTTAACATTTGACATTTGACCTTCAATGACCTTCTCAAAGTCAAAGAAGGTCAAAAAGGTCTTTTTTCAACTTGCTTCAAATTGACTAATTTTTTTTCAAAATCATTTACATGTTCTCAGAGGTTCAAATCTGACTTTAGATTTGACATTTGACCTTCAATGACCTTTTCAAGGTCAAAAAGGTCTTTTTTCAACTTGCTTCAAATTTACTTAATTTTTTTTTCAAAATCATCTACATGTTCTCAGAAGTTCAAATCTGACTTTACATTTGACCTTCAATGACCTTCTCAATGTCAAAAAAAGTCAAAGAGGTATTTTTTCAACTTGCTTCAAATTGACGAATTTTTTTTTCAAAATCATCCACATGTTCTAAGAAGTTCAAATCAAACCTTCTAAGGTCAAAAGGTATTTTCCAACTTGCTTTAAATTGACCAAATTGTTTAAGGTGGTGACATTTTGTCATGTTAATGCCTTGTTTATACATGTTCCCGGGGCCTATGGTTTGTGTTCTGGGTGTGAGAATCTCTAGAGGTGAAGGAGCGTACATATAACCATGAGCTTTTAATTAGTTGAAAGCCCATGATATAACCAGCTCCAAAATCACCTACTGAAAATTAAAAAAACTATAGTTAAGGTGCTATGGAAGTTAACAGGAAATGACAAAACAAAAAATGTCAAAACCATGCTGGATTTTGAAAATTTTTTGAACCAAGATAACAGAGTTCTGTTTGGACCTCCAGTCAGTTTAACTAGTTCCACATATCATTCACATGACCGGGAACACAATGGAAATATATTGCTCTAAATGATACAATCTTTGAAATTTGAAAAAATCGTCTGAAACAATAATGGCTGTAGTTAAAAGGAAAATAGATCCATTTTTAAATTCAGTTTTTTGCATTTTTTTCTTTTTCTAAGAATGATATGAAATTTTTTTAAATTGTATCATTTAGAGCAATATATTGGGCACATTTTCTGAAAAAGTCAAAAGATTCTGTTCAGTGACCTTTCCTGAGCACCTACTCTTAGCTATTTTTCAGTCACATATTCAGAGGGCTGAAAAGGTTATTTCATCATGTTCATGGTCATTCTGACCATTTCCATTGTGTTCCCAGTCATGTAAATGATATGTGGGACTAGTTAAACTGAGTGGAGGTCCACTCCAAACAGAACTCTGTTTTCTTGGTTCAAAAAATTTTCAAAATCCAGCATGGTTTTGACATTTTTTGTTTTGTCATTTCCTGTTAACTTCCATAGCACCTTAACCGTTCAGAAATTGCTCATTACTGTAATGTCTCATTTTGTTCATAAATCAATTGTATGTAACATGCATGTCATAACATTGTACATTTTAAGGTACAGCTGGAAAATAACATTTTGGGAAAATTGCTATACCTGCACATGTTATTTTCTGGTACAAAATAAAGTATGAGGGCATGTATTAATTTCCTTGCTTTTTTCAGGAAAGTATCATTACATTGTCTTCTTTTAGGAAATCTGGTAAGAGGTCAATGGGAACATCAGGAAATTCTGATATTTCACGGTTTCTATTTTTTCAAATTTTCTTAGTTTCCAGACAACACAGAGCTAACATTGACCTGTTTCCAGGTTTACTAAAAGTAGACAATGTAATGATACCTTCCTGAAAAAAAACAAGGAAATACACACATGCCTTCATACTTAATTTTTAACCAGAAAATAACATGTGCAGGTAAAGTATTTTTCCCAAAATGTTATTTTCCATAATGTTTTTTCAATTTTTGATAATTTGCAATGATATACCCCATTATGGGTATCTAGTGCCAACCCTGTAAATGTAATACTAGATAATTATACTACATGAATAAAAAAACAAAAACAAAAACATTACATTTGGACCTTCAAATCATGACTTCTTGTTTTTTCAAACATGTGGCTCTGCACCTATTTCTCATGTAAAATTCTCAAACTCACCTTTTTATTAATTTTTCCCTCAATCTTTCATCAATCAACTCATGGTTTGTTCCTGGTATCATTGAAGTACTCAAGATTAGATAACACAGTACATGTACATGTACACTTACTTATTTTAGGGACAACTATGATAAAGAAATCAAGGCTAAACAGACAGAAAAAACTCCATGTAAATCACAAAATAATTCTAAAAACAAGAAACCAGATATTCAAACTTACGTGCCACCATCCCGGAAAACAAATTCAAGCAAAACAAGTAAGTGATTTAAACCTTCTTTATTTTGAATACACGATCTAATTATTTTATTATTCATGAAATTGTTTATCTGATTTTCCTCAAAAAATCTCTGAGACCTATATTACAATACAGGCAGTTAGTAAACATTATACTTCATCTTTCAGATCCAGATGGCACAAAAATGCCTGTGAGGCAACTACTGTTCAAAATAGAATATGAAGATGAACATGGTCAGAAACATGAGTTTGAAGTATTCAAGGTAAGCAATCACGACCCAAGCATTGAAGCAAGCATTAATCATTGAAGAGCACTTAGACTACAGTGTATATCCAAAATCTGATTTTTTTAAAATGGCTGAAAATATTCAGACTATAACTGACCTATTGCCAAATGTGGTGTTAAAAAAATTCTCATGAAACTTTGGAATATAGTAAAATGAATACTTACCAGCGTTTCACAAGGTGCAAAAAATTTCACTGATATTTCAACAGGAGAGATAGCAAAGGCAATAGACTGAATTTTATTAGTCTTTTGAATATAGATTAGAAGAGCACTGGTCAGCCAAAAAGATGTGAGGAAATTAAATTAAGAACAGTAGATGGCTTTCTGTCAAAGACAGGTGTAATTTGGTGGGGTTTTCCTGTCTTAAAGGGGCAGACTTTGGACACTAACTGCCACTCCAATTGAATATTTATAAAGCTACATTGTTGAACCATCTTCAAATGACAAACTGAGCAATTTTCTATACAAATACTCATGCATTGTTGCAGTATATTCCCTTGATACAGGCCCAGAGACAATGGGAATTTAAGGAAACAACTGGATTTGTAACAAAATATCAATCTTGAAAGTGTGTCTACTCAAAGGCCAGGAATTTTGACTGTTGCATCCATTAGGTTAGGTTAGGTTTTAGCATCTTGGGCCATGCAACCTTCTCCTTTAAATGTGTTAACTCATACTTAAATCTGTGTTCTGAATGAAAAGCTAAGGACATACTAAATACATAAGTCTTTGTGGACACAATTGAACCTTCTATGAAATGTCAAATTTTTGTGACATGTCGTCAGTTCATTTGTTCGAGATGTGGTTCTACCAATTTTGACCAAAAAGTAACTTGTTCCACAAAGTACTGACTTCTTGAGTTTTTGATTCATATCAACTGATTGTATTTACATAACGTTTAAGTCTCCTACACTCTTGTTGCCCTAATACTGTGCTGGTGGTGTGTATATTTGACATTTTGATTGTAGAATGTTGTCATATCTATCATTTAGTCCTTTTAACAAATGAGTCCATATTTATACATGTTTATAAAATGTATTAATTGTAGAGGATCTAGGCTAAAAGTTTTATTCACCATGTATTACATCTTGTGCATCCAGGTACATTTCCACGCTTAATATATTTCAGGGGGATGATCCAACAGTATTATCGAAGCGATTTGGAAAAGAGCTGAAATTACCAGAAATTCTAATAAGATCTTTAGCAGAGAGACTAAAGGAAGAAACGCAAATGTGCAATAGTGTTCACTTGACAAATGCTCCATCGTGACACAACCCACGACATACTTAACAGTTCTCTATACCTCTGTAGGCCATTATACGTGGAGTGCTATGGGTGAATTTTACTAATTTTAGAGTATTTATTACCTGAAGACTGTGTAGTGTGTTTTGTAATGGGAAGTGGATGTTTCAAGAAAATGTCTTGATTTTATATGACATACATATAAATTTATTTTGAAATATCCTCATATAATGTTGAGTTCAGGATTTTTTACTGGATTTATTTATTGTTAGATCTCTAAAGAGAATGACATTGTGGCTTGCGTATACATAGCCTACAGGTTGTGTTTTATTTTATCATAAATCAGCTTTATAATGTCATTGCTTGCATGGCAAATAAAATAGATTTTTGCTGATTTTAGTGTTTAAATCAAAGGTCCATGTGCAGTATGGCAAGTGATTTTAGACAGTCAATAGGGATCCCATGTCAACATTTTTTTCGAATGTTGAACCCAATTACTCAAAAGAGGATCTTCTTTTTGGTTTTTATTGCATGAAAAGATTATTCAACAAGGGGACTAAAAACGTCTTCAAAAGTAGAATGGTACTGAAAGTCTAGTTTTGAAGATATCAATTATGCTGAAAACAATAGATAGCACGAGTTTTCCCTATGGGAAAATAACATGGGATATGTGGTTTTTAACTTTAGTGGATTTCAATATGCATCCCCTTTTCAGAAATCGTTAATATAGTGTAGAAGAAACTTTTGATATGTTTAAATTGAGAAAAACAAGATCTTCTTTTTAGAAAATGAGCCTAACAGTTTTTAAAAAGTGCGAAGGTGGGCTCCTAATCCATAATTTTTCAGAGAGTTAGAATGATATTTTACTATCTTGGGGACTTCACCTGATATATGTGTAAGAAAACATATTGTTTTAATAAAAACCACTGTATTGATGGTTAGAGAGTACCCATGGTGAAAGATATGACTGCAAAATCACTTGCCATATTGCACATGGACCTTTAGCTCTTATTATATTGCATTGATCTCATTCAGTGTTGTAACAGTTGAGCTTACATTTAGCTGTGAAATGTATCGTTTTATAGAATTTTTATTCAAATATATTTATAACTGTAATGAATCATAATGGAAACTAGCAACACAAAATCAGAATTTAAAGTAGTGAATTCAAATATTTTTTCCAGAAAATCAACATACCAGTAATTTCACAAATGCATTTTCTGTCAATCTATGCACATGTTTTCCGAAGTAAGACATTTTCTGGCATTTTCTCGCATTCCCTTATCAAAACCAAAAACAAAAGTTAAGAAAAAAGCTCAAAATCCTGAAGAGATTCTGTATACATATAACATCCCCTCTTAAGCTAACATGTCTTATAAGTATCAAATGGTGTGTCCTGTAAGTGTGTAATGTATTTTTAGAAATTGGTTGAAGCTTTTATTGTGATCCATTCTGTATTAAATATTTTACTTCAAGTATGAATCTATTATTTAATTTATTCATGAAAATAGTTTTACACAAAGTGATAGAATAATTGTTAGCCCTGTTGGATAGTATTATTTATAGGATATCCTATGATTTTGAGGAATATCATTTTTATCTCCACGGTGATATTGATATCTGCATGAGAGAGCAAAGCGAACGAGTGCATATATCAATATCACCGAGTAGATTAAAATGATATTCTGAAAAAAAATCATAGGATGTTCTTATTATCCTACACTTACAAGGAGTGTACTAAATGTATAAAATAATATCATCACGATATCCTCGGGTTATTCATTTTGCCAATAAATATCAAATTTATTTTTTAATGTTATAATACATTTTGTACACTAAGTGTAGGATAATATAAAATACTGCTCATTTTCCTGGTGTGTAATATTTTATCATTGTGATATTTTGATGTATCGTTCACACACTTTAAAGAGGGTAGAACTCTTTCATTATTTCTTATTAATTTTACATCATTTATCTTGTGAGTCTCAACTATCCATTGAACTATTTTATGTATTTATTAATGTACAAAATATTACATGCATTGAACATCTCTGATAAGTATCATTGAGTAATAAATCACAAATATCAGATTTAATAGAAACAATGATTACAAGTCATTTTGTTGGATTTAGTTTATAGAAATAACAAAATAACAAAGAATTTATAGAAATAACAAGAATAACAAAGGTTTTATAATGTCTGATGAAGTTAAAAAAAGTGTCAGGATTGAAAAATCAACAAGGTCTTGGAGCCAATTTGGCACATAAAACATATTAAGAATATGTTACTTCCAACATTATTTGAGCTTTAATACAGTGGAACCTGTAAAGTGATACACCTCTAGAAAGGAACACTTCTGTTAGTGTAACACTTTTCACAGTCCCAAGATCAACTGACTTAATGTTAAATGAACCTCTATAAGTGGAACACCTTCGAAGTGAAACACTGTTTAGAGATACCAAAGGTGTTCCATGTAGACAGGTTTTACTGTATTTCCAATATTTGATTTGCCAAATTTTAACTACTTCGCGCCTGACTTCACCTAGCTTTGGTCACCAAATTTGATATCTTGAAGAAATTTAAGATCACTTAAAAGAAAAATACAACTGTTCAGAAAATAAGTTCAATGTTGTCAGAAAATACTCATGTTCAAAGATATGACTGTTTTGTCGTCTTTGACAAAACTTGTATGACTCCAAACAATGAGCTTTTGACAGACAGACAGACTGCATGCTCATGGTAGTCATAAAAGGTTCTCACAAATGTAATTCATTTTTGAGGAATGACCTTTGTAAGTGAAACCGATATTTTGAAAGATTTTTGTGCCGTTTGTCATACATCTTTATATAAAAGCACTTTTTACTTTCCACCATCTTAATGGCCATATTATGTGTGAAATAATACTCCATATGCATAACAATAGAACATGCATTAGCTGAAAGTTGCTCATATATTACTATTGTTGATAGTAGAGACTAGTGATCACTTTGTGCTGGTGTATTTAGTGACTGCCTTTGTTCCCTCACTGACTGCATGCTTGGCCAGCTCACCCGGTAGCAGGAGACGAACTGAAGTCTGGATCTGAAATAAACATATAACAGCTAGTTAGACACAAAAATCACTGCCCTGGCTTCTCTTATATCTATGGCTCAATATTCATTCTTGGATTCCCAAATAAACTGAGGATTAATGAATTTAGCAATGCCATTCATGAAATCTTTTTCTCTTAAAACCTAGTAATAGACAACAAAATTAATGCCTTGTCTACTCTTTGTGATCAAATATGGGTATCTGTATGTTGCCACACACATATTGGCAGCCATTTTGAAAAAGGGGCGACGACTCATTAGAACCTACACCCGCAACAATGCTATCACATATTTTTACATATTCTAGAAGTGCATACCTTTCCAAAACTAATCATAAGTATTTTTCCCCTAATTTGATACTGATTAATTCCCCAGGCTGATGTCCTATAAAAAATTATTAACCATACCTCTCTACTAGTGATGGTAGATCTCTTGTTATAGGATGCTAACTTAGATGCTTCACTTGCTAATCTTTCAAATATGTCATTAACAAAGGAGTTCATGATGTCCATAGCACGACTAGAGATCCCAACATCTGGGTGGACTGAAATAACATAGACTAACCTATATATCATACAGAGATTGTTTACTAAAGATTTAGATTTGAGGAATTTAATTTGGCACTTTTGCAAAGTATGCTAAATAAGCAGAATTCAATTGTTAGGGATTTTTGTTTTTCCCCAAAGTTAGTACTTTCTCTTGTGACCAAAAATGCCAAATTGAGTAGTACAACTTTTTTCTGAGACTATAACTAAATGTCACCACCTTAAAGTGGTGATATAACAAAAAATTGGAGACAAACAATATGTCATGACAGACCTTCAAATGAAGATGTGTGTCAACTGCTAAGACATGTGTATTTTAAGCATAGTGTTGCTCAGTGGTAAGGTCAGAGTTGGATCTACCATTAACCTTTCCAAAGAATTGTTTCAATTTTAGAATATTTTGGCTCATGTCATTCAAGTTTGTACTTTACAGGGCGATCCACAAGGAATATCACAGATATTGCCATTTCAATAGTACTGGAGGAATCATCGTGAATTTTGGTTCAGATGTTTCCTGTGTTACTTCCCGAGATAAATGATTCAAAGTCGATATTGTGGTTGCTTTGGTAACTGGATGTAACATCACATGGGGTATAAAGTGCAAATACATAGTTGGACTTGGTTACCTTGTTTTAGAACTTTGTATATATAAGTATTGAATGATTCCCTTCTTCTTTTCTTGCGTTTATTCCCATCACCATGTGTTCCCCTACCAGCCTTGCCACTTGATCCCAACTTCCCCATCTTCTTTCCTTTGCTCTTACTACTAGTGGGGGACTTGGCCATGGTCTTGCTTGGGATAGCTTGACTACTAAAATAATACATTGCTCTATATGAACAGACACAGGATATATGTTTTCTCTTTTACATTACCTTGGTGCAATATAATATGGAAAATACGTTCATATTTTAGATACCCAACTTTTGTATTTTTGAGTCATTCTTATTCTTATTTGCAGAGGCTTCATGTGCTTTACAGAGAAGCATCAAAATACAAGAAGTCAAGTACTTACAATACTACACGTATTTGGTAGCCATTCCATATCTACAATTGGTACTGGTGCTATAGCTGCAAATGTTATTTTCTGGTACAAAATAAAGTTTGATGTCATGTGTGTATTCCCTTTTTTCAGGAAATCATTACATTGTCTTCTTTTAGTAAACCTAGTAAGAGCAAAGGTAACACCAGAAAATGCTGATATTTCATGCTTTCTAATTTTCCAAAGTTTTCTCAAAGATTTTGAACAACACTGTTTTCATTCCAACAGTACCTTTAGGTTTTCAACACAAAAAAAGGTCTCTATTATTTCATATTATGTGGTGTGGTCCTTTGAATATTTATTTTTTAGGTTTGATTGCCTCAAAGCTTTTCATGTTACCTCACCTTGACTTTGTAGTTTTTGGCTGTTTGGGGGCTTTGGGGCCAGGCCCCATGTGAATCCACATCCCCTGCCCCTTCTCTCCATTAAATGCCATATATCCTCAGGTGGAATTGATTTTATATAACAATATACTTAGGAGAATTTGTCCATATAGCGATACACCTGATTTTTGTTCAACTTACCTGTTCTTGTAAAATGCTGGACTGAAAGTGATAGAGCTAATCAAATATTATTATAGGGGTAATTTACTAATCCATGTCCAGTGAACAACTTTATAAAGTACAAACTTATTGACCTTGATTTTTTTTGATTGCATTTATAAGCCTTCACCTCACTCCACTGTTTGACAAAGTAGCTACTTGAAGGTGTAGTCATGCATCAAAATACAATTAATGGTGCTAAATATATACAGTTAAACCTGTCTCATTCGAACGCCACGAGGCCATGACTGGCTGAAAGTGTTCAGATCAGCAGATGTTCACATTTCAAGTCAAGGGGAGATAACAAAATTGGGACTGATGAAAAGTGTTCACATTGAGAGGTGTTATGCCCAGATGAATGTAATTAAGGAATAAATAATGAAAAGCCATTCAATATGTCATTTTTTTAAATTGGACGAGCTATATAAAGACATATTGAAAAAGTTGCAAACAAAGAATTATAAATAAATGAACTTGCTATGGGTGAAATTACACAAGAATTTTCATTTGTACTTAGAAACTCAGTTACAAATCAGGTTGTGCTGTCACACTCAAGTAGGCTTTTGAGTGAGTGAATTGTTCTCTTATAGTGGTAGATTGCCTAAAGCCTCATTGACATTTGCTCTATGGCAGGCCGACGGTGGCTGTTACTCCACAAAATTGATATAGAAAATCTACATCGTACTGCTAATCCCTATATGTTATGCTACATATTTCCCTTGATTTTCGGAAGTTACGGTCGCCGCATGGTCGCAAGATCAAATATGACTGAGGCATTAGCATAAAAACCTCGCAGCAATATTTTTAGGAAATACAGATAGGTTGAGGGATAATTCTATATCCTTTAAATTTTCTTCTTGTTAGGTCTAATGGTGTGAAGGACCCCAATATCAATATTTTTCATTTTTAAAAACCATGTATGATGCTTAATACACACTTTATAGTAGATATATATCTGGTGGTGCAACAATCTGTACTTCACTTTCCTGCAGTTCCAAAGTATCTGGTATTCCAATTTGCTCAAATCCACCATTTTTGGATGGTTTTGAATCTACCCTTTTGAGGGAAGAATTATACGAAGAAGCTCAGTAGGTATGGAATACATCTTTTATGTTCAAATCAGTATTGGAAACAGGGTTTATCCCTATATATGTCTCCTTTTTTTCCCTCAGGATAAAACCAGTACCCTAAAACCTCCCAGTACATAATCCTTATATATACGTCTAAGAATAGTATCTAACGCAATATAATATTTTGTACAAAATGTTGTGCCTCTTTATAAATAAATAAGGTTTCCTAAATATTTTGTGAAGTGTGTATCCGTAACATATTGATCAAATCTATGTATGAGGGCTGAGACAAAAATTCTATGTTAGTCTCAGATGAGAGTTATGTCATCAGAGGCATATATATGAGGTATATCCTGGGGGAACTATATATATCTTATTGAGAAGCCAGAAACACTTCACTTCTTATACCAACAACAAAATGCATGATTAACTTACATAATCTATGAATATACATTACTTTTATTAATCCTTAATTGTTTACATTACAAGTTAAAACTAAAATAAAATGAGAGTACATGTATTTATGAACAGAATTAATTAGTCTATTATTGTACATATATCAATATAATGAAAAATTCTCAATTAATCTTGCAGAAGTTTCTGATGGAGTTTCAGATGTACAGAGTGGCTTACATTTCTGGTAACAAGACATTGCCATGACAAACTGTCACCACTTAATTGCTCACAATATTATTAGTTCAATCTTAAGTCAGATTTGAATTTCTGAAAAACTTGTAGATGATTTTGAAAAAAGAAATTGGTCAATTTGAAGCAAGTTGAAAGAATACATTTTTTTTTTTACCCCGAGAAGGTCATTGAAGGTGAAATCTCAAATCTGATTTGAACTTCTGAGAACTTGTAGATAATTTTGAAAAAATGGTCAATTTGAAGCAAGTTGAGAAGGTCATTGAAGGTCGGATTAATTAATTAGAAAAGAACAACTCCACAGAGTAGCAAATCCCACCAAAAACAAAACATATTTTGATAAATAGCGTCAATCGTGAAAATTTCTTCTTGTACAAAGTTCAGTTGTCCCTAGGTATCAGCATATAAATCCCAAGGCATCAGCATATAAAATTTGAACCAAATCTATCCACTTGTATTTGAGTTACAAAAGATTACGTTTTTACAAAAAATAGAGGCCAATTTAAAAATCTATTATTGAGCAAACACCCTTTATCCCTAGGCATTAACACATTAAATTTGAACCAGACCCATCGACTAGTATAAGAGTGTAATGGCTGCTATATAATGGCTGTCATTTTGAATTTAATTTCTTCTCATGTATTCCTCATGCTTGACTTGAATTTAACTGAAATGAGAAATAAACAACCAAATGGTTACAAAACTGTAACAATTGTTACAGACTATTATTAGTATGGAGAAGCTTTTATATCAAGTAGACCATAGTAAAACATTGTAGCTCTGTAATTTTTTTATACAAATTGTCACATAAGAGTAATAAAAAGGTTTCTCCTGGAGACAAAGTTCATGAGTCTACGAACTATGACCTCACTGGTCTAACCTAACATATAAACCAACCAAGCAACATACAAATCATACAGTTTTCCAGATAATGGAAAATATATGGTAAGTAGGCCCTGGTTCTTATATCTTTTTTGGAATCTATTTTGAGCATATTAAAATTGTAAATCATGTAAATTGTAAATCATGAAATGTTCTGTCTGTGTTTTCTGGTGTGCGACAAGACACAAGTTTACGAGTCACACAATAACTCTTCTTTAAGAGCCATCTACTAGCAAACTAGCTAGTTATAATATAATTTGTGCACTGTATAAATGACACAATACTTTCGTATGAAATTACTGACAGAAAATCAACCATGTATACATTGTGAAAAATGTTTAGGTGAAATAGCCTTGTATGTTTTGGTTATATCAAAAGTATCATGTAATTGTAAATACAAATTTTTAATGGGGCTTCTGGTGTAACAGACACAACAAGGCATTACCATGCAAATGTCACCATTGCCATTTGTCACAGACACTATGTCATTTGTCACGGACACCAACCACCGAAAACCATTGACAAAAATGTTGGAGACTAACTTATTGTCACCACTTGTGATATAATTAAATTTACAAATTGCAACTGGACCAACTGGTGCAACAGACACAAAAATGTAAATCAACATTATTGCAACTGGATCGACTGGTGCCAAACACAAAAATGTAAATAAAATTACAAATTGTAACTGGACCAACTGGTGTAACAGACACAAAAATGTAAATAGAATTACAAATTGCAACTGGACCAACTGGTGCAACAGACACAAAAATGTAAATAGAATTACTTATTGCAACTGGACCAACTGGTGCAACAGACACAAAAATTTTAATAAAATTACAAATTGCAACTGGACCAACTGGTGCAACAGACACAAAAATTTTAATAAAATTACAAATTGCAACTGGACCAACTGGTGCAACAGACACAAAAATGTAAATAGAATTACAAATTGCAACTGGACCAACTGGTGCAACAGACACAAAAATGTAAATAGAATTACAAATTGCAACTGGACCAACTGGTGCAACAGACACAAAAATGTAAATAGAATTACAAATTGCAACTGGACCAACTGGTGCAACAGACACAAAAATGTAAATAGAATTACAAATTGCAACTGGACCAACTGGTGCAACAGACACAAAAATGTAAATAGAATTACAAATTGCAACTGGACCAACTGGTGCAACAGGCACAAAAATGTAAATAGAATTACAAATTGCAACTAAGTGCAGCTGAATAAACAGCAACAGCCAAAAATTGCAAAATGCTACTGGATCAACTGGAACAATGGGACCTAAAATAGTTTTGTCTGTATATTACTGATCTCACATTCGAATATCTGTGAATTAGCAAACTCACAATTTTATGGTACAGTGCTGAAAAACAGTGATTTTCTGCCAAGTACAACTTGATATGCCACACAATAAGTACTGTATTGTGCATTCACAGTGCCATGTTGTACATTCCTGTACATTGAGTAAACCTTATACTTGCAACAGTGTTATGTCCCAGACCTTCTGGGGCTTAGAGTGAATCATTCTTGCCAATACATGCTCTCTGCTGAGTGGATTATGACCAGAGGAAGAAAATGTTTTTGAAATGTTTATTTCAAAGGTCAGATCAAAATGTCAATGTTTTTTCATTCAAATTTTTGTCAATAATGTTCAGACAGACCCAAACCTGTTTCTCATTAATACTCATTGAAACGATATTGCCACTTTCCAAATTCAACTGTATGTTTTTGTATGATGAAATGTAATGTAAGAAGCTTCAAAAAAGAACACATTGATATTTGAACCTGGCCCTTTAGATAACCTTTAGTTCTCCTGAACTTAATTTTACTACTCAAATTCTTTCAATTCTCACAAACCCCATTCTGTGCAGTCCCTCAGCTATAACTTCATTCTCAGTGAATTAAAGCAAAATAGAAACTTTACTCAGAGAATCCTTTTCAGCTTCCATGATTTCTGTCTTGATACAAGATTCATTTCTCCCTTTGGCCAGAACCACTCAGAAACTTTCAACGATTCATGTCCTCGATCCATCTCTAACTTATCAAACTGGATCACCAACACGAGACAGTAACCATAGTTACGACGTAGCAACCATGAGAACTTGCTTTTCCATGGTTTCAGAACATGCCATGCAAACTGTGAACATTTTGGGAATTTTTCTTCTTGATGTGATACATTTGAACTGATATTTTGTATACCATTAATACGGCTGAATCAAAATTGAAGAAATGACTAAGGTACAGGATCTCAAATAAATATGAGAAAAAAACATTTATTCAGAAAAAGAGACCATCATATCAGAGACCTCAATGACAGCAAAATCAACACCAGAGCCTTACAAATTTAACTGG